AACCAATGTCATAAAACAATATGTGTACTACTGTTTCATGAGAAACTATTTGTTCTGTAAGCCTTCACCTGAAGTACAATAAAAAAAAAAAGACCAGACTTACCAGACTAATAGAGACTAGAGAAACCCCTGAGACCATCGCCCTAAGATACCTTTTTAACCTGGAACTGAACCCACTCCCGGGGATGGATGAAAACGGGGCAGGCGGGGTGAAAATGGTGAGAATGCTGACACATTATGGGGATTGTAACCAATGTCACAGAACAGTTTGTGTATGAATTGTTGAATGGGAATCTAATTTGCTGTGTAAACTTTCACTGAAAACAATAAAATATTCCAAAAAAAAAAAATCTTTAAGCTAACTACTAACTAAAATCATTGGCTTAGACTATAAGCTGTTTCAATTCTAGGGCAGTGGTTCCCAAACTTGGCTGTACATCGGAATCATCTAGGGGACATATAAAAAATCCCAATGCCCAGGTTGCATCCCATACAAATAAAATCAGAACGTCTAGGAGTGGATACCAGGTATCAGTATCTTTTAAAGATTCTCGAGTGATCCCAACAGGCAGAGAAGTTTGGGAACCACTCTACTAGGACCATGCTTTACTGTTGTGTCTCTAGTACCTAGAATATTGATATGTAGTAAGTGCTCAATAAACGCCTATTAAATAAACAAAAGCATAAATGAACAAAAATATGCTTTCTTTTAAAAACCTTTTAAAAGCTTGAAATTCTAGAATATTTTTTAGAAATAAGACTTTCATAAAGGATATAATCACTGTTACCTTTCTCAAAGTATCTCAGTGCTATTTGGAAAGTGTCTTCTGCATGTTCATAATCTTCCTCTGGACTGTTTTGTCCACGTTTCAAGAAGCTCTCGGAGTAGCTTGGCTTCTCTTTTATTTGGTCTGACAGACTACCTCGAGAAGTCCTCCTTTGGGCCTGTGAGTTAACTCTTTTTCGAGCTGACATTACTGCATATGTTCTATACAGAAACAAGCATAAAGTTACCATTAATCAGTCAAATATTCCCTTTTTTCTCCACAAAGACAGGTACCATACCTGCCTGTATTCCCAGCATTTAGTATAGCACCTACCATTCAACAGGCACAAATAAATTGACAACAATCCACGCAACAAAATTTATAGGTTAACTTTCTCAGAAAGCCCTTGACCTAAATAGAAGTAGAGAGAAACAACTCTCTAAGGTAACATTCATCAACTGAACTGGCCTTGTGGGTAAAAAAAAAAACAGTAAGAGTACAGGCAACACAGCAAGTTCATTCTTTTAAAATGGCTTTATCATACAAGTAAGCCTAAAAATAATCCAGCTCATGAACTCAGTCTTATTTTCTCCACTTACTATTTTTCTCCACTCCTCGATTCTGCTTTTAATCTTTATGCATCCCACTTTGGCAGTGCTAAAACTACATAGTTTAAAAGCCAAGTAGGTGGCCAAACTAAGGATTTTCAAGACAGAAACATTACCCATTTATTCATTCACTTATTCAATAAATAATTACTGAATATCAAAGATTAGGCTGGACTATAAAACATAAAATAAAATAATAATAATTACTGAACATCAACTATATGCTAAGCACAGTTCTAAGTACCAGGCATGAAATACTGAAACACTCAAGGTCCCTATTCTCATGAAAGCAAATAAATAAGGAAATTAACTAATAATGAATATAAAAAACACAGTGATGTGATAGAAATAGGGTGGGGGTGGAGGGGCTACTTTGGAATAAGAGGTCAGAGAAAGCCTCTCTGAGGTGACCTTTAAGCTGAGATCTGAATGCCAAGAAGGAACCAACCATGTGAAAATCTGGTGGAAGAGTATTCATGGAGAAGAGCACCGTGTGCTACGACCTTAAAACAAGAAAGAGCTTTGCGTGTTACAGAAACAGCAGCAACACCAGTGTGGGGAGGAGTGGCAGGAAAGAAGTAAAGGGTGGTGGGAAAGGTAGCCACCGACTAGATCATATTGGGAATTGCAAGCCAGAGTAAGGAGTTTGGATTTTAAGTGTCATGGGAAGGGGGTGGGGAGGAGCTAGGAAGGGGAGGGATACCATCTGATTTATGTTTTAAGATTGTAGCTGCTGTGTAAAAAACAGAATGTTGGGATCAAGGAGTGGAAACAGACAATTAAAGGGCTCTTGCAGAAGTCCAGAAGAGAGATGGCTGTAGTGTGAACTAGGCTTAAGGTGTAGCGGTGGAAAAGGTGGAACATTAATGAATTCAAGATATGTTCTGGAAGGAGACTGGACAGGACGTGATAAAAGAACTGGATGTAGGGAAAAGGAAAGAGAGAGGAACCAAGAATGACTTCTAAAGTTTTGGCTTACGATGGGAAAAATTAAGGGAATGGTCGAATTAGACTTACCCAATCCCACCTTAGAACAGATGAGGTCACAGCAGGCGAGCAATGTTATGTCCAACCCAGTGGGAGGGTCCAGGTTCCAAGCTGTTTTTTAGCGGCCTATGGCAAGAAGGGTCGCTATGAGTCGGGATCGACTGGATCGCAACGGTCTGGTTTTTTTTTTTTTTTTTTTTTTGTTATGGTGTTTCTATTTGTTTGAGCTGTGTAGTTAATGTTTTGATTTTGGCAAGAAGGGAGCCCTGGTGGCGCAGTGGTTAAGAGCTCGGCTGCTAACCAAAAGCTCGGCAGTTCGAATCCACCAGCAGCTCCTTGGAAATCCTATTGGGCAGTTCTACTCTATCCTGCAGGGTCGCTATGAGTCTGAATCGAACCATCCGCAACAGGTATGGCAAGAAGAGCTGGCGAGCAGCTTCTGACCCCATCCCTCCGAACGTCCCATTGCTTCTCAAGTATCCATTTCACGGCCTGCCCCAGCGGGGGGCGAACTTGGCCACAACCACTGGCCCACTGAGCAGATTCCTGGGCTGGGGGAGAAACCGACCTCAGCGACACCTTTCAGGGTAGTCCCGTTAGCAGAAATTAGGAGATCCCCTTTGCTCTCGGGGCTGCAATTTCACGCGGTGTTTCAAAGTACCTCACCTGGCACTCTCTTTTGCCCCACAGTGTCCGCTGCCCTGAAGCCGCCACACCAGTTCAAATACGCGTGCCCCACCCCGCGCATGCGCCTTCTGACAAACACAGGCGGCGACAAGGCGGAGGGGCGCGCTCTACTGAAGCCTGATTGGTTGGGTTTCCGCTCTTTGGCGCGGGGCGGCGCGCGCGCGCGAATGCTGTCGTAGACCCGATTACTGAATGCGACTGGCTCCACCCGCCCCAGCCTGCGGGCTCGCGGCTCGTGGGCCGTTGTAGCTGGAGTTAGCTGATTGGCTGGCGTTTCCGCTGTTCTTCTGTTGCTCGCATTGTCGTAAAACGGAGCTGTTAGTGTCTTGATTCTTAAAATTAACATGATAAATTATAGTAATCATTTTGCCCAGATTGACCCCTAATGTCAGGATTTTGAAGCTGTAGGAAAATATGAAACTGCAAACTTCACAATGAAGTCTGCTTCTGCTCTGCTAGCTGGGTCTGTGACCTCTGAGGCAGTTACTTTCCCTATGTGAAGATAATGATTGGGAGGAAAAGAATGGTTGGGTCTGCCCTCCTTTTACCGAGGTTGGGTATGGATATCCTCCAAGGTCTGCGAGAAACATGTGTCTTAAGTCAGATGTTGTGGCATCTTGCAAGCAGCAGGCAATGAACAGAAAAATTCCTGACCTTGAGGAATCAACTGACACTAAAGAAACCGGCTAAAACAGCAACAATGGCTAAACTTGGTCCCTAATTTAATCTCTTATTGGAGTAGGAATCGGAGAGGAAAGATAGAAATTTAATGACTTTTACTAAATTTAGTGAGGGCCAAAACATGCCTATAAACTGTGGGCAAAACTGTAGAGGAGAATTTTGCAATCTTAGGGAGAGTGAAAGAAAAGAATAAGACATCTTTGATTTTTGGAGCCCCGGTGGCGCGGTGGTTGACAGTTCGTCGGCTAACCAAAAGATTGGCAGTTCAAATCCACCAGCCGCTCCTTGGAAACCCTATGGGGCAGTTCTACTGTGTCCTATAGGTTCGCCATGAGTCGGAATCAACTTGACGGCAACGGGTATTTTGATTTTAAGGGGTTTCTCTTATCCACGAAACCAAAAATTAACTGTTAAAAAGGCCTGACGCAAACTGCAGGAGTTTTGACTTTTTTTTTCCCACCAGAAACTGCTCTGTAGCATTGTAAATTTGTCTTTTCCGACTAGAAAAGGGTAGTCATTAACAAACCCATTACCTTGTGATTTAATAAAGACTCTGCCCTTCTTTGATTTGAATTTCGAAAGATCTCATAGCTACAAATGGGTAAAAGGCCAAGTTCTCAGCACTTCTTAAAGTTAAATCAGTAACCATTAAGTACTTGGTCACTATGGAAGCTTGTATTCATTAAGAAAAAATATATTTGAGCTTCTGTGAAATCTCCAATCCTCTGAACGTTCTTTTTCTTCATATCCAACATACAGGGGAGACTGGTGCTCCTCCGATTTGCAAATTGTTTATTAAATCATGAAACAATCAAATATTATTGTTCTGAGCTAACTCAAAGGTTTATTTTTAACAATTGTAACTAGCCTACTTTGAGCCACTTGTTTTTAGAAACGAAAATTTCTCTCTGTATGCATGTAGAATGACGGCTCGGCATAAACCTTATGGTTCAATTTCCTTGAGTCTTGATGATTTTTAACAGGCGAGATGAAAAACCAAAGATTAAACTGATGTATTTGAAAAAGCCTAAGGAAGAAATGATTGTTTAGCAAATCTCACATTTACATGGTTTTCAGAGTACTTTCCTATACTCTTAATCATGCATGAAAATTGAGACAATGTTGACCCTACAAATATTTCAACAATAGCTGTTCTTCGTCATCTAGTAAAACAAACTTTCTCTAGAGTCGTTTTCCACAGTTTAATCATGTCATAGATTCAAAGAAATGTCAAATAGAAAGGATTTTAAGGTTTCAACCCCCTCCTTTTTTGTCAGTGATGAAACTGGGACCCTGAGTGGTGAAATAACTTATCTAATGTGATGTTTGTGGCAGTGCAAGTGTAACTTGTGCCACTTTGAGGACACATATGTCGTGAGACAGTGGTTCGCTTTAATGTACCTGCAATTTTTTTCTGAAATTATTTCTCTACCTTCCCTTGGCGTCAGTCACCTTCCCTTGGCGTCAGTCACCTAATGAAACAGAACTCCTCAAACCTAGAAATTGCATTGAGATCCCAAATCTATGGCTTTTCTGTCTTATGTAATGACATCACAGAAGCGTGGGAAATTTAAATAAGATTAAAAAGTTGCTAACCTCATTAGCATGTTAGGTGATTATTTTTCCCTTCTCTTTTCCTCCCTCACCCAGACTTAAAGAGAGAGAGACAGCCTGAATCCCTTGATATGACCCTTTCTTTCCAGATATTCAGTATTTGTCCAGACACTTTCCTCCAAATTTCAAAAATTTTTATTTTGAAAGAATGAGAGAAATAAAACAGAGAGGTATCAATTACTGAGAACAATGACATTGAAGAAAATACAATAATTCGTACTCTCCCCACACACACACCCCCACCCCTTTCCCCATCCCTGGCACAATAATATTGAAACCATCAAAGCACATCTAACAAGGTGAAGCAGCAGTATGTAATGAAGAAAGCAAATATTCATACTGCTCAATCCAACTAACCCTTATCAAATGTCCTTCCCCCAGCAGAACTCCACCCACCGGAATGATAAAGAGGTGTAGAGAAGAAAACCCTGGGGGTGATTTGGAATTCTGCTTACACTAGCGAAGAGTCAGTGAAGAATCAATAATAGTGAATCTGTTTGGCAGGGAAACACTGAACATAGCTCCTCTATCAAATTTCAGATGATTCAAGAGAACAGCAAGGGTTTGAGATTCACAGACTTCTAACAGGACTTAATCCCTGCTCCCTCAACCGCAAAGGGGAGCAGCTGTCAAATCCTGGTTAGCTGCTGAGAATAGTGGAAGTGAGGCAGCTTTTGGCTTCAGAACATCTGAAAAAGATGTATGGTGACAAGTTTACTGCTTCAGTTTCAAACTTTAAGTAAAGGGGCTTAGTAGCTTGGGCTTGGACAAAGGCAAGGTGAAACTTCTTATTTTATCACGAAAAGAATTAGAGTATCTATTGACTGCATGTATCCCTTGTTTTAATTAAACTTAATATGGGGCATTTAAAATTTAAATCACGTGATGTAGAGCCTGATTAATTTTACATATAACTCATTGTCTCAAATTGAGGGAACTTTTTCCTAAAGTGGTGAGTTTAAGTTTTCAGCATTATCTATTGAGGGATTTTCCCTCCATAGGAATACATCACTTATTTTGCACCAGAAGTAAATAGGGTTCTCTTTGTAGGAGGCTTATTTTATTCTGCCTTTGCTGGAATCATTCTATAAAGGGAAGGATACCTGTGCAGGATTAGTTTAAGACCAGTGCCTTCTCATCCACACGTGCGTGTGTACACACACAGTAGTTAAATACACATTCCCACACATCATCTTACAGTCACATGCTTGCTGGAGTCCATCTCACAAATACACTTCAGTAGTAACGGTTACACATTTACATGCAGCAAGATGTGAGAGTTGCCCCAGAGTGATTAAAAGTGGTGCACATATGTCTATGTGGGGGAGGTCATTTTATGGTATAGATGTACACAAGCCAATAGGGTCATTAACTTGCAGATTATATTTTTCCCTTTCCCCCAAGATAGATAAATCAAATGAGAAACACACACTGACATCTTCCTGGGTGTCATGGAGGCAACTGCCTGGAAGGTCCATTTTTTGCACTTCCATTTTCCTATGACACCTTCATTTTGCCCTGAGGAGCCTTCTCATATAAGGAGGGCTGCTCCTCAGCATTCCCCGGCAAGGGCTTTTTCTCAGAAGACCGGTCTTCAGGCTTGCGGGCAATCAGCAGGCGGCAGGTGAGCAGGATTCCAAACACCAGGGCATGAGCATAGCGTTTTAGAGGATCACCCACCAGCTGGTGGAAGAAGAGCACAGCTAACACCAGCAAGAGTAGGAAAAAGTTGGCCACATCTTTGGGACGCCCGGGCACAAGGGTCATGACGATGCCGCAGGCCACCTCAAGAACTCCAATGCTTTTGCGGAGAAGAATGGAATTGATCCCCATTTTCTTCAGCAGAGGAAGGGCTCGCACATAGCTCTTGTAAGCACGTTTCTAGAGTGGGAATGCCATAAGACAATCACTGCATTAACCATGATTTGAACATTAGAATGAAGAAAACACAATCAATATCCTTCTTCCCCATCATTCCCCTTCCACATCAGCCAAGGGTGTTCACATTTCTTTACTGTGCCCCCTAAATAAAAAAGCCTTGTAACTAAAATAAGATAAAAGCAAGCAATCTCCTGAGATCCCTGTGACTTAAGCCTTAGTAACAACACCAAAGGGGTAAGGCAGAGAATTTGCATAGTTTAAAATTTGTTTCTAATTATCACATTTTCCAGTGCCTGCCTTGTCCAAACCTGGGTGCATATGAATACCAGCCAAATTGAAACAGGCCAGGCACAGTACATAAAGCCTCACTAATTTGGACATCCCTAATTTGGAATTTGTGATAATTCAGACAAGAGCTGAGCTGAAGTTTACATTTGTGGAATCTATAAAAAACAATTTTTAAGTGTTTGATAAGCAAATACAAAAATGTATGCAAATGTTATACCCATTGTACCCATTGCTGTCGAGTCGATTCCAACTCATAGCAAATGTTAGCCCCTTATATTTTTTTTTAACTATAGTAAGACAAAATCATTCTCATGTTCATTAAGGTAAACCCCCAGACCTCTACAAGACACTACCCCGGTTAGTCTAGTTCAAGTTCATTAATTTTAATTCAAGAAAAATTTATTGAACGCCGACTATGTGTTATGCATTGGAGATACAGAGATGAATAAGACAGGGTCAAGAAGCATGTTTAGTGTTATATAATAGAGGTATGCACAAGGTCTAATGGTAGTCCAAAGGGAGACATCATAGGATAAAGGTGCAAGTTACTGGATATATTACAAAGTAAAAGAATTATATGGCATTTAGAGTAACAGATAAATCATATTTTTCACTGTTTCAGATTGGCCTGATCCTCATTTTGAAGCAAACTGATGAGATTTTAACAAGTCTCATTGGGTTGTTCACTGCTTTGTTTTCATTATGTATCCATTCATTCATTCAATGGTAGGCATTGTACTAGGTGCTCTGGATACAGATATCAGTTGGTCAAAGGCCCTGCCTTCCTGAAGCTTGAAGTTTATAAGGGAAAGAACCAATATTAAATACATAAGTGCAAAATAAGTGTTATGGGTGCTAGATAAAATTATGTAGTGGGTACAGCAGAGGCACACCAGAGGGAGTATGGTCAAATCTCCCTAGATGAAGGCTGAGAAAATCTAGAGTGAAATCTGAAAAGATTACGGGTGTTTGCAAGATCAATAAGGGAGGGAAGCACATTGCAAGTATAAGCAGCTGGATGAGCGAAGGTCCTGAAGCACGAAATAGACTGGTGTATTGACAACACTGCCACAGTTCAGCATAGGTTGGGAAGGATGAGAAATCAGATAGGAGAGGTAGCTATGAATCAGATTACAGACAACTAGGTATACTGTGCTATCAAGCTGGACTTTATCTTCTAAGCAAGGAAAGCAATATAATCAATTTGCTTTTTAGGAAGTTTCCTCTGGAAATAGTGTGGAGGATGGATTGGGAGAGGCATGCCTAGAAGCAAGGAGACCAGGTGAGAGACCTGGACTAGAGTAATCACAGTGAGGATGAAGGGAAGGGGACAGAGTTAAGGATACTTTGAACGCCAAATCAATAGAACTTGGCATTTTGTTGGATGTAGACACTGAGGGGAAGGAAGGAGTCAAGAAAGATTCTCTCAGGTCTCTAGTTTAGGTGCCTGAGCAGATAGCTGTTACCATTCTCCAAGTTTGGGAATCAGCAGAGGTTGAAGGGCAGGGAGCAAAGGGGAATAAGAAATTTAATTTGGGTTTTTTTGAGTTGAAGTGTCTACGAGACATCTAAATTGAGATGTCTGGTAGGCAGCTTAGTAAGAGGGATATGGGCTAAAGATACAGACTGTATAGTCATCAGTATACAATACGAGAGTGGACAAGATTGCCCAGGGAGAGTAGTACAGTGAGAAAAAATGTGTGACAGAACATTTAAGCAATGAAGAGAGGAAAAGGAATCCACAAAGCAGACAGAAGAAAGTAGGAGGAAAACCAGAAGAGATGGGGCCATGGAGGCTAAGAAGAGTTTCAAGAAGGGAGTAGTCAAAAGCACCATATGCAAGACAAGTATTATAAGAATCAGGCAGAAAGCCAACTCGCCCTCCCAGAGCATCTAGCACTTAGAATAGAGTTCTACACACTCTAGATTTGGAACAAATGTTAAGTCATTTTTTTTCTCACTTCTGGACAAGTGAATGCACCTTTATTTCATGGATTAATTATCATGAGTGGCACAAAATAATCCTCTCTGATGACTGTTAAAAGACTGATGTTCTAGTGAAAAAAGCATAGGTTTTAGATTCAAACAGACTTGATTTCAAATCCCAGCTCTACCACTTTACAGTTGGGCGTCCATTGGCAAATTATTTAAACCGAGACTCAGTTTCCTGAGAAGGGCAGGGACTTGGTTGAGATGAGTGAGGCTACTTGCCTTGGGTGCAAAATTTAAGGGAATGCCAAAAAACTCATTAATCATAAATAATATCCCGGATGAACAAAATATCAAAATTTTAAATAAAGGCAGGATCTGCCCCCACACTTGCACGACCCCACCTCCCTCTCCTCTCCTGCGTCTCTCTAATCTCTGCCCTGTCAGATCTCCACTTAATTTAAAACTTCACCTCTCCTTAATCCCTACTCTGTTCCTGAGCACATAAGAAATACAAAGCGTTAGTCATTCTTCCTCCCTCTTCCCATTTTAGGGTAAAACTATGGATTTTCAGAGTGAAATTTGGAGAAATGTTGACCAATAGGTGGAGTGTAGCCCTGAGGCTGAACTGAACCAAACTCATGCAAAGCTGAGCTGAGGGTTAGGAAACCTGGTGACGGAAAGAAACCTGCCCCTTTCCTCTCATTATTAACCTAGAGACCATCTGCCAGCTCCCCCCCTCCCCGTCCCCCCATCCCCCCCGCCCCGCACACTGGCGATGCTAGCGGGACGGGGTGGGGTGGGGCATTAGGGAAAGTTATCTAGACCCAGGAGACTTCCTTAATACTTTTAAGTAAGGACCATTTCTAATTAACAACACAAACCTTCCCATGAGGCAATTCCTAAATACTTAAGTGTAAGCTTCTGACATAATGAACACAGGAGGCAAGATGAGTTTCTAGCAGTCATTTCTGAGCCAAGATTTCCAGATGCTGGCTGATTTGCTTCTGGAAATGCTCCTTTTTTTTTTTTTTTTTTGGCTAGGGCTAACCACCAACCGAGGAGCCCTGGTGGTGCAGTGGGTTAAGTGCTCGGCTGCCAGCCAAAAGGTTGGTGGTTTGAACCCACCAGGCGCTCCGCAGGGGAAAGATGTGGCAGTCTGCTTCCATAAAGATTTCCAGCCTTGGAAACCCTGTGGGGGCAGTTCTGCCCTATCCTATAGCATCTCTACGAGTCAGAATCTACTTGAAGGCAACAAATGAGTTTTAACCACTCAACATTCAAGAACAGATACTTATCTATACTACAGTGGAATCTGTAGCGCTAAGGCCAAATTCTAGGTCTTTATTAAATCAAGTTCTTATGATTTCAGTGGTGTTTTTTTCTATTTGGTATAACTGCATATTACTTGTTCTCAGTTGTTTAGCTAACCTCTAAAACTGCAGCTGTGGATATTTTTATACAGCTGTAGCCTCTTTCTTTCCTCCTTTTCTCAAGAGGAAACGGCACGTGGATAAGCCATTTCATCAAATCTTTGGTTCAAAGCTCAGTAGGTACAGATAACATCTATTATCCAGGATTCCAGACAGGGAATATTTAGTTTGTTAGAGATGGGGCTAAGCTTAGATGGCTCTTGACATTATAGGAAACCCTTTAATTTTTTTCCTCTTTGGAGTAGAACGGGGACATCAAAAGAATCCTACTGTTGCCAAACCCCATCATTAAGCTTGGTCTAAAACCAGAAAAACCAAACTGTTACTGTCAAGTCAATTCCAACTCATAGCAACCCTGTAGGACAGAGCAGAACTGCCCCATAGGATTTCCAAGTAGCAGCTGATGGATTCGAACTGCTGACCTTTTGGTTAGCAATCGAGCTCTTAACCACTGTGCAACCAGGGCTCCAAGCTTGGTCTAGGCCATTCCAATTCTGACACATATCTTGAGACTATAGCAACTAGTCTCTAAAGACCATGATTGTACTGATCATAAGAGTAAAGAGAGTTGACTGACTCACTCCCAAAAGGCTCTTGCATTTCACATTGTTAAGTCTGCTTCCTCTCCATCGCAATGATCCAGACCCTGTGCCATAGTTTCCTTATAGGGGAAGGAAGCAGGAAAGACAAGGGTTCAGCCAAATGTTCCAAACCCCTTCAACAAAAGGCAATCATCCAGCTGTATTCTTGGACTGGGACTCTTAAAATAAGCTAAATGCCAATTTTAGTTTTGCCCCTACATTGCTTGGAGAAAGTTACTAATAGCTTATTACCTCAGTTTCTCTTTGTATGAATTAAAAGCACATTTTGGAGAATCAAAGAAGCATAGTGACATATCATGAATCGAGGGTCACACAAACATTTTATCATTAATGAACCACATGATTATAAATCCATAGGTTTGAAAGCCACAGTAATTATTTTAATGATAATAGTAATGAATCCAGCAGGTCCATTCTTGTGGTATGAGACGTGATTCAGACATGAGTCAAAAGCTTATGGAGCCTTTCTTCAGTCATACCTTTTTTCTTTTTGTTATTTATTCTTCACAACATTCCAGGGTCCATGATATCATATCAATGACATTAAACATAAACAGCTCAAAACCATATAATGATATTCACCTTCAGTTACAATTAATAACTAACCCAAGCCACTAACAGGACAAAATGGGAACAGAGGGCAAATAGTCAGGTCCATTATGTCCGCTAGCTCACATACATCAAGTGGGTAAGAGAAAAAATAATTTGGCTAATATACTGTATAATTCCACTTATGTAAAGTTCACAAATGGGCAAAACTAACCTATGATATTAGAAGTCAGGATAGTAATTACCCTTGCGGGTGATGAGACAGATTTCTGGGGTGCTGGTCATGTTCTGTTTCTTGATATAGGTGCTGGTTACATGGGAATACTCTGAAAATTCATTGAGCTATACACTTATGTTATGTGCACGTTTTAATATGTGTGCTTATACTTCATTAAAATCTATAGATATAAAAAATAAAAGCAGAATAGGGCACTGACAAAAGCATACTTGGACTAAAAAAACTCAGCCTAGTTGCTATCTTTGACCATAAAATCTACATAAGTGCTGCAAAATTTACTGACTCAAGTGTGATTTTCCTGAATCTCCGTAGGAAAAAAAAAACTGCATGTCAATCATAGATCCTTTTTTTTAATGGAATAGAAGCCACAGAATATTTAATTGCCAAATATTTATGTGAATGATAGACATCTTTTAAGTAATTCTGCTTTTCACTAACATATAATGCCCACCTGAAGAGGAAGTTGGCAAGCCTGGTTTTACTAACTGAAGTGGCTCTTTCCCAGACTGCATCCTAGGGCAGAAGAGTCTGACTTCTACTGTCAATCAAAGGTTGCTCTGAAACAGTTTTTGGCCAAACTGAGAGACCACAGGCTCTCTGGCATAAACCCCAATGTATAGTTTCACTTGTGATGGCTAACCGTGTGAAACAAGCAAAATCACTTCACATCTCAAGGTCTCAGTTTCCTTTCTGACGGGATAACCATACTGTTCCACCTCAGAGAGCAAGCAGTTCTAAGCATCAGTGAATTACCGTCTTATTACCCAGTTGGAAAGCAATAAGTATCAGTGATCGGAAGCAAGAAAGATTACCTATAAACATTAAATAAATTGCCCAAACATATCAGGGGTGTTTCCCATGGTTACACAAACAGGAGGGCATTTAACTACAGGTAAACAGATCAATCAAATCAACAAACCTTTACTATGTGCCATGAGGAGATGGAAAGAAGCAGAGACTTTTCCAGTTGTCCTTAGGGCCAAAATCATTGTGACAGGATTTTGGTGTTTTCTTACCATTTCATATGTGACCCCCTGTACATACAGGATGAAACCACTGCTACAAAGAGTATGAATACCAAATTTAAAGTCAGCCATTCATATGTTCCCAGTCACTACAAAGAAAACTACTTAGCAGCACTTGTAAGCGCTGTCTCCCAATTTCAAGTAAATTCATAATGACGTTTAGCTAAGGGAGTGGTTTGTCATGGTGAATTCACATGGGATTTAGAGTACTGTACTCTATAATGACACTTCAGATCTGGAGGAGATATGGGACAACATATGCCAAATAGGCTATCCAGAGATGCTTCTGGAGGTTCTGCACAGGATCCACTGGGCTAATTCCATAGCAGCAAGTGAGAATTCTTCAATATTAGCTGATTGCAAAAAATTCTGTTCACCAGGGTTCATGAGAATAGCATCTTGCTCTTCTAAATGCCTGATTTCATTCCCTTTAACTATACATTCAAATTAGGCAGGAAACCATCACATAAAACAGAATCAATTATCATCATCACCTCACCAAAAGCATTTCTTGAACACTCACTGTATGCAAACACTGTACCAGATGCTTTCATATGTTATCTCAGTTAATAGTCACAACAACCATCTGAGGTATGTATTATTATCCCCATTTTACAGATAAGGAAACTGAGACACCAAGAGTGCCAGGACTCAAACACAAGGATATATGACTCCAAAGCCTGTGCTCTTTCTACTACATTTTCCTGGCTTCCCCACTAGAGACAGGAAAGAAATACGTAGTCATTTAGCTGGTTGGTTTTCAGCAGCAATTCTCCATAGAGGAGATCACATCTAAGCATAACACTATTGTTTCTAGAACAAGAAAAAAAAAAAGTCAGAAAAGCAAGGAAAAAAAAATCTAAATTTGAAAAATCAGTTTCAAAGTAAAACAAAACCCTCAAAATATGGATTGGTGTAGTTGAACTGGTACAGAAAAGGAGCAAGAATGTTCCAGATATTTTCAAGTATCAATTGTGGGTTCTGCCATCCAGAAAAAACAGTTGAAACCATTAATTATCCCTCTACTGTGAATACTGAATCATGGACTTGGTTTCTAACTCTGCCCCAACAAGAGCTTACCCTATGATCTTGGGTAAGTCATTAAACTTGCTCTGTTTCAGTTTATCCATCAGTAAAATAAGAATAACTAATCAAATAAATCTACCTCACAGAGATGTTTTAAAGAAAAACTAATCTTAAAACAACAACAGCAGTAACACTTTGACATCTTATAAGAAAAGCCACTGCAGTCAATACATGACTAACCCCATCAATGCAGAGTAATCAGTCCTAAATGAAGACAGAAAGTCCCAGATAATCATCCAAGCTGATCTAGGGTTAGGGTTCTGAAGGTCTGTGGCCACCTTCTAGAAGAAAAAAAAAAAGCTCCTGAACTACATAATCGAGAACCAACCAGAGAAATCTAAAGGGTGGTAAGCAGCCAAAACAATGCTAAAATGACTCATTCATTCACCCATCCATTCAACAAATATATATTGAGCACCTTCTTTGTACGACAGCTGCATTTCCCCCCTTTCCTATGGATTCAAGAATAAAGCTGAACCAAGCCCAGGGACCATGCAGTGTGGCCAATTCCAGCCTGTGGCCCAATGCACAATGCAGGAGGGGATCCTGGAAAAGGGCAGTCTGAAAATTCTCTTCAAGCCTTACGTCACCGTGACGTCTCCCTTTCCAGTTAGATATAGTCCTTCCATTCCCTCCAGATGCCCTGAAGCACAGAAGCATGCACACACACACACACACACACACACACACACACACACAATGGTTCTGTACTGATGTATTAGATTACATTTATTTAAATATGTCCCTTTGTATGATATGAAATCTTCATATTTGTTTCTTCTGCCTTTCATGAGACTATAAGAGATAGCTCCACTCCTGAGGAAAAAGCCTACTGTAAACCCATTTGTAGCCAGTCTTCTTGTGAGTTCCTGCCAAGCTGCTAGGAAGCTTCCCCGTGACTCCATCTTAGTTGGATTACCTGCAGAGCCTAACACTGTCCTTAGGGTGCAGCTTGGGGAGCCTCTAAAGCAGTTGAGAAGGGTCTGGGGAGCAGGGAGTATACTGAAGCAGGATACTCTGTCCCTAAGGAAAGGGAAAGCTAAAAAATACCTATGGTGCACACACACACACACACACACACACACACACACACACACACACAAATGCATAAGCATAAGTATACATGAAAAGTAAAGAAAAGCAAGAGCATATTAATTTGTTTATATTCTGTCTATAATATCCAACTACTACCACCAAGATAAAAATATAGTGGCATTTCCCCTCCACCTTGTCTCTCTGCCCCCACCCTCTTCAAACACTTCGGCAGCTTCTGTTGCCCCACCCTCCACTGCCCTCCCCAGTGCAGGCTGTCTTGGATACTCATTTTGACCTGATTTCAATTCCATCTGGTCAAACATGCTGGGAGGAGGGGAGTGGAGAAGGAAAAGCACATTAGGATTTGCCACTGGCGATAGAGCTGGGCCCATGAGTCCCAGCCACCCTACCCCTACCCCAGGGGTGATCCTGTGGTGAGGGAAACATAGAAAGCATCAGCTCAGACCCTGAGACAAAAGCCAGAGCTGCCTGCTAAAATTTTCTGAGCATCTACAATTTGCCAGTCTCTGCCCATTTGCAGCTCATGTTGAGGGGCCCTGGAAGGCTCCACAGTGGGCTCCAGGAGAGCTATCTATTCCTCTCAATGTGTGGGGCTATTCCTCCCTGCCTGGGCCCTAACAGGAGTCCCTCTTGCCTCTTATTCTCCTTCTGTTCCTCTCCTAAGCTCCTTTCCTTCTTGACCTTGAGAGCCCAGTTATGGGCTCCCTCCCATTACTGGCAGTCTGGCAAAGGCAGTGAGAAGCAGGTTCCCTTGAGCTGGGGCAGGGAAAAGAAGAGACAAAGTGACAGGGGGCGAAGCGAGAGACAGAAAGTGCTGGAAACATCCCTTGCCATCTCCTAGTACTCCACAGCATAAGAGCAAGTCCTCATCGCGCCCAAATGAGGCGAGCAGCCCAGCCCCCAGGTTGCAGAGGAAATGTTTTGGCCAGTCACCTTTGGTGATTCCAACTCTGCAGAGGGGAAAACCTGCAGAGGGTTTGGCCTTGGGCATCTACAGGAGGCAAGGTGGGGATTACAGACTAGTTTGTAGGAGAGAAAAGGCAGATTTTGCAGGTTTTGTAAATTAACCAAAAAAAAAAAAAAAATCCAGCCCTCCCTTGAGAGATGGATTTGAAAAAGCAGGCACTCAGTGACCTTTATTTGGGCCAAGACTGCTTTGTCTTAAGGATACAGATACATACCCAGGTGGCTAAAGAAATACTATCAACTCTGGGCAAGGATAAGGAATACCTAGCCAGCCCCTAAAAACTGCAGGGTTTTGTAGCCCAGTTTCCAGCTTTTTCCCTCCTTCCCCTTTGTTCTTCCCCAACATAAATAAACTCTCCAGCTTGTTAAACTCTTAGCTCCAAGGAAAGGAATCGGACTCGCAGACTGGTTGCCCAGACTTTGGGCGTGTGCTGGAAGGAGGGAAGGGTTCTTGCCAATGACAGGTGCTACACAAGTCTCAGCCCTCTGGTTTACCGGGGATAGGGTAAGGGGAGGGGGTCCTCGCTGGGCAGCCCCTCCCCCAACTGGCATTCAGTGGCTCCAGAACAGTTGCTCCCGGCATAGCCCACAAATGCAATCGCTCTTGCCCAGCTGCTCCCGCAAGCGGCAAAGTTGTTGGGGAGAAGGGAGGGGTCCGGGGTGGGGGTAAGGGTTAAGGGAATGGGATCGCAGAACGAGAAGGAAAGAAGGGGAGAGGTGCTCGCAAGCCTTTGGGGGTGCGCCTCTCATCACCCATTAGCTTTACTTACCATCTCACTGTAGGCATCCTTGCTAAGCCTGGGGGTTAACTTGATAGTCCCCATGAAAACAAAAAATAGTCCCAGGGCCATTGAGAGGGCCACGATAGTTACGGTTCTGGGGGATGCCATAGGGTCACCAAGGCAGGTCCTAACTAACCCTTCTGCTTTGCGCACCCTGTCTGTCTAAGGCGCAGGCAGTCAGCACAGGGAGAACGGGAGAACGCTGCGGAGGCTGCAGGCAGCTAGAATGACAAAGGGAGAGGAGGGAGCTCTAGAGAAAAATTGAGAGAGACAACCTCTCACTACAACAATCGCTGGGTCCTAATGCCCTACCCTTGCTCCTCAGTGGCCAAAAGCACAGTCTCGAAGTTAAATGAAGCCCTAAACTGAGGTGAAAAGTTCAAATCTTAAATGGGGAGAAGATAGGTTATACTGTGAATTCAGTCGCTAAGTGGTCCCCGAAATAAGGAATTAGGGAAGACCTTTCTACCACTTCACCCCAGGTGCACTTTTTCTGCCGTCCCTCCCATCTTCCTTTATTCATTCCCTGTTTTCTGCCTCTCCCTTTCTCTCCGCTTTTCCTTTTCCTCGAAGCTTTTGTCGTCAGAGAGTTATTGGTTTCTGAAGTTGGTAGGATTCGAGGATAAAGCTGCAAAATTGTCAGGCTTGAATGCTGCCCAAGGCTTTTTCTTCCTCTTCCTCAAAAACCTCTAATGGCTCCCATTACTCCAGCGTTCTTATTTTGTCATTCAAGGCCCTCCACATTTTGACCCCTGTGTGTCTTTCGATAGTCCCTAGGTGGCGCAAAGGGTTTGCCCTGGACTGCTAACTTAAAGGTTGGTGGTTCAAACCCACCCAGAGGTGCCACAGAAGAAAGGCCTGGCTGTCTGCTTCTGTAGAAAGATGAAAGCCAAGAAAACCCTATGGAGCAGTTCTAGTTTGTAACATGTAGGGTTGCCATGAGTCGGGATCGACTTGACAGCAACGAGTTTTGTTTTGTTTTCGGTCTGTCTTCTAACACCTCCCACTGTCACATGCCACTCCTCATCTACTATATACTCATGGCCCTATACAACTTGAGCCTCCCCACTCAACTAATCTTTGGTCATGTCCTTTTCCCACTCCATCACTCTTTATCATTTTCTTTAATATAACCTCCTCCACAAAGCCTTTCCGGATTCATTCCCAGCTGGTTATGATTTCTCCCTTCTCTGATTTCCTCTAATAATAGCCACCATTCATTGACTGTTTACTAGGTACCAGACACTATCCTTTACACACACTAACTCATTTGATCTTTACAGCAACAGTGTGAGTCTTATGCCCATTTTACGGACGGAGACATTGAGGCACAAGGAGGTTAAGTAACTTGCCCAAGATTATACAGCTAGTTAAGTGGAGAGCCAGGATTTAAATCTAGGCAGTCATTTCTAAAACCCAGGCTCTTAACCATTGGTCTACTGCCTCTCCTATTATATTCTGTACCATTAACATGACATTGGATTCAAACATACTAATGATCGTGAAGTTGGCACAGAACTGGGCAACATTTCTTTCTGTTATACATAAGGTCACCATGAGTTGGAACTGACTCAATGGCAACTAACAACAGTGTGACACTTACTTGATACCTCTTAGCACTGTAATTACACACACACACACACACACACACACACACACACTCGTAGCTTTTTGAGAGGCAGTGTTGATTAGGGGGAGAGAACAGTCTTTGGAGTCAAACCCAGAAGGTCCAGAGTTGGAATCCCAACTCTGTCACTAACTGTGTGATCTTGGAAAGTCATTTAACTTCTCTGAACCTCCGTTTCCACATTTATAAAATGTGGACAAAAATCTTGTCTCAAAGGGTTGTTGCAAAAATTCCATGTATGTAAAGTGCCTAGCACAGTGTCTCACATGTGGTAAGAGCTCAATGGAGATAGTTCTCTTCTTGCTCCTTCTACTTTCCTGATGCACTCCACAATTAGATTAGATTATACACATTTAAAAGGTAGGGGCCACTTTTTTATATCCCCTATACTACCTAGCACAATACCTTTTGTACACCAGGTCCTAATAAATTTCTGTTGGGGAAAAAACAATAGATGAATTTAAATGCAAATACCTCTGGGAGGGGTAATCCTTTAAGATTTAGCAGTCATTACTTCTTGTGGTGGAAGAGTCAGACTGTTTTCTGATTATTATTCACCTATAAATTACTGAGTGCCTACAGTGTGCAGGGAGCCCTGGTGGCATTGTGGTTAAGAGCTTGACTGCTAACAAAAAGGTCGGCAGTTCAAATCCACCAGCCACTCCTTGGAAACCCTATGGGGCAGTTCTACTCTGTCCTGTAGGGTCACTATAGGACTCTGTCCTATGAGGTTGGTATGAGTTGGAATTGACTCGACGGCAATGGGTTTTTACAATGTGAGTACAGCTATCTTAGGCACTGTAAGAATGTTGTTGGTTGCTGTCTGATTTATTCTGACTCATTGGTGACCCCATGTGTGCAGAGTAGAACTGCTCCACAGGGTTTTCAAGTCTGTGACCTTTTAGAAGCAGATCACCAGGCCTATCTTCTGAGGTGCCTCTGGGTGGGTTCAAACCGCCAACTTTTTGGCTAGTAGTTGAGTGCTTAACCGTTTGTGCCACCCAGGGACTCCTACCGTAGGAATACATAGACAAATTAGGCATAGACTTCACTCCCAGTGGACTTGTTGCATTGTAAAGAGTAGGGTTTGTTAGAGAGGAGGGATTTTTTTTTCTCTCATATACATAACAGACTGGAAAGAATACCCCAAAATGAAATGTTTATAATTTGTTTTCCAAATGTTCTATATTGAATATGGCAGTAAAATGAGCACTTAAGGAAGCCTATTCACCCACACACGTACACACACACAGGCACACACATATACATATATATTTTTTGAAGCTGCATATACTTGCATTCTTTATCTATTAAAGGAATCCCTGGGTGGCACAAATGGTTAATGTGCTCGGCTGCTAACCCCGAAAGGTTGGAGGTTCTAGTCTACCCAGAGGTGCCTCAGAAGAAAGGCCTGGTGATCTACTTCTGCAAAATCAGCCACTGAAAGCCCTGTGGAGCACAGTTCTACTCTGACACACATGAGATCACCATGAGTCAGAAAAGACTCCATAGCAACTGGTTATATTTTAAAAAAATACATATGAAATGTTTTTCCTTTAAAATTATATGATAATGTGAATAATACTTATTCATTATAAACGTGTAAAATACTGAAAAATAGACAGATAAAAATAACTCATGATCCCATCATGCGGAGATAAACATTGTTAATATTTTGATGTATTTCTGACCTTTTTCTTAAATGTCTCTCTATCTTGGAAATATATGTAAATTAATTTTTCAAAATTTGATCCTACTTTATAGTCAGTTTTACACACTACTTTTCCCCCCACTTATTTGTTAGTATTTTTCCGTGTCATTAGATTGTCTTCAAAAACACAATCTTTTTTAAATGGTTGTATAATACTTCAGCATCATTGAAATGTACTAGAATTCATTTAACTATTCTCCTGTTGCTACATATTTATGCTGTTTCTGTTTTTTTTTTTTAAATTCTACAAATAAAGATGTGATGCACATACTTGTACATAAATCTTTGTCTGAGTCCCTGAATTTTTCCTTAGGATAAATTCCTAGAAGTTGAATGAGTCAAAATTATGAACTTTCTTTTCTCTTTATATGCACACACACACACACACACACAAACACACATACACACACACAAGTATGCATTTTTTAATAATAGCTAACATTTAGTTATCACTTACTGCATACCAGACACTATGCTAACTGACTTGTATACATTGTGAGATTAGTACTAAACCCATTGCTGTCGAGTGGATTCCAACTCATAGCAACCCTATAGGACAGATTAGAACTGCCCCATAGGGTTTCCAAGGAGCAGCTGGAGGATTCGAACTGCTGACCTTTTGGTTAACAGCCGTAGCTCTTAACTACTGTTAATTTTCCCTACATTACGAAATGAGGAAACCAAGTAAGAAATGGAGTACAAAGCAGGCTTGCCACCTGTTGTGGTATTCAACTTGAACCTGTGTTGTTTCTCAATTTGCTGCTGCTGCTTATTTAATTCATTTTAAAACACACGAATGTTTAAAAGATTCTTGATACATGCTACCAAAGTGCTTTCCAGAAAGAAAATTTACCGTTTCATCAGCAGTATAGGAGAGTGTAGGCATCACCACATTAGATCTGCATTGAGAATTTTCGTGTGTTTTTCATCTTCACCAATTTCATACATTTAAAATTTTGCATCTCTTTGATTATTCATGTGTTAGAACATTTTTCATATATTTATTGGCCATACGCATATCTTCTGTTAATAGCCTTTTTCATTTTGAGTATTGGTGTTTTAAAATAAATTCATAAGAGCTCCTTATATCATAATGATGTGAATCACTTATCTACATATTTGTCATGAGTTTTTTTCCCAGTTTGTGTGTGCCCACAAATTTGGGGTCAAATCTAGCAATACCTTTGTGATTCCTTCCATTGCTTATAAAGTTCTTCCCAATCTCAAGATTAAACATTTACCTACGTTTTCTTAAAGCTCTTTTATGCTTTCATTTCTTTTTTACATTTTACACTTTTGACTAATCACTACTTTGTGATGCTTTCTTTATTGTATATTTGATTGTTATCTTTTTACTAAGTTAGCTGAAGGCTTTTTATACTGTCCCCACTGATTTATTTGTTGATTCCTATGACAGTACTACAATATTTTGAGTATTATAACTTATGTATGCATTGTAATATTTGATAAGCCAAGTCTCCCTTCATTATTACTCTTATTTTATTTTATTTATTTTGTTGTTGTTGAGAATATACACAGCAAAACATACATCAATTCAACAGTTTCTACATGCACAATTCAGTGACATTGATTACATTCTTTGAGTTGTGTAACCATTCTCACCTTCCTTTTCTGAGTTGTTCATCCCCCAATAACATGAACTCGCTGACCCCTAAGGTTCTTACCTAAGCTTTCAAGTTGCTGTTGTCAATTTGATCCCATAAAGATAGTTCTTAAAAGAGCATAATGCTCAAGACAGACATTTTTTAC